ATTCGTTTGTTAAAATCAATAGCACCGCATCGATTGCACTACATGGCTGCATCGCGTAAATCGCACCGCATAGACTGCATTGCATAGGTTGCACCGCCTAGATTGCATCGTCCAGATTTTTTTAAGATAATAGGTCCTACCACCCTCCCCACCCTAGGGTTATAATCCCTTGCCACAAACTAGGACGAAGTTCACACGCGCGCGTCGTCGCGCGCGCATGCCGAAATCCTACAAAAAAATACCTTCGGTTCCGGAAGGATGTCAAAATCGAGTTCCCCCAAAAACATACAAAAAACATGGTTTCGCAACACGGATGTTCCACAAAAATACGCGCGCTCATGCGAAATCTTAGGAAAACCGTAGGTGTTTCAAGATGTTCGAAAAAATACTCCCAAACGGGCTTCGCGCGCGCGCATGTCGAAATCTTTCGGATGCCCTTGCGCGCGTGCCGTCGCGAGAATCCTTTTGCAAAACATGTGACGAAGTGCACGCGCTCGCGTCGTCGCGTGCGCATGCCGAAATCCTTCAAAAACCTGCAGTTTCAGAAGGATTTCAAAATCGGCTGCCCAAAAAACATACAAAAATACAGGTTTCGCAACATGGATCTTCAACAAAAGCGTGCGCGCGCGCTCTTGCGTCGTCGTCGTCGCCATCCTCCCAGATCCCTCGTCGTCGTCGTCGCCGTCGTCGTCCTCTGTTTCCTCGTCGTCGTCGTCCTTTTTGGCGTCGTCTTCGTTTTCGTCGTCGTTGTCGCCGTGGTCGTCCTTCCTCCTCCCTCGTCGTCGTCGTCCTCCGTCGTCGGCGTCTTGTCGTCGTCCCTCCTATTTCGTCGCCGTGGTCGTCGTCGTCGTCGTCTTCCCTCCTCCCTCGTCGGTGTCGTCGTCGGCGTCGCCGTCCTCCCTCCTTCTTCGTCGTTCGCGTCGTCGCCGTCCTCCCTCCTCCCTCGTTGTCGTCGTTGTCGCCGTCGTCGTCTTCGTTCGTCGTCGTCGTCTTCGTCGTCGTCGTCGTCTTCCCTCCTCCCTCGTCGTTGTCGTCGTCGGCGTCGCCGTCCTCCCTCCTTCTTCGTCGTTCGCGTCGTCGCCGTCCTCCCTCCTCCCTTGTTGTCGTCGTTGTCGCCGTCGTCGTCCTCCTTCCTCCCTCGTCGTCGTCTTCGTTGGCGACGTCGTCGTCGTCGTCTTCGTCGTCGTCGTCGGTGTCGTCGTCGTCGTCGTCGGCGTCGTAGTCGTCGTCGGCGTCGGCGTTGTCATCGTCGTCGTCGTCGTCGGCGTCGGCGTCGTCGGCGTCGGTGTCGTCGTCGTCGTCGTCGGTGTCGTGGTCGTCGTCGAAGTCGTTGGAGACGTCGTCGGCGTCGCCGTAGTCGGTGTCGGCGGCGCCGTCGTCGTCGTTGTCGCTGTCGTCGTTGGCGTCGGTGTCGTTGCCAAGTGCCATTTGGTACCTACCGTCACGGTCTTAAGAGGTCTTGCGACCAAGTTGCGGGTGGGAGGGTGGGATGTTCGCACGAGCAGTGGAGAGGACAGCTTCAAGACAGCCAAAGTGAATTGCACCACGCAGATCACACCACATATGTTGCGCTACATAGGTTGCGCCGCGCATATTGAATCACACAGACTGGACCGCAGAGATTGCACGGCATAGATTGCATTACATGGGTTGCACCGCATACACATTGCACTACACAGCTGGCACCGCATGGACTGCCAGAGCCTGCTGCTTGGAGCCCACTCAGGCAAACACTACGATCATTCCCCAAACAGTGCTTGCACTTCGGGGCTCCCACTTGGCTGAACCATCTCGGGGCGAATGGCGGCGCTTGCGGGCGGTGCCGCCCGTCGCCACCGTCGCCGTCGCCGTCGCCGTCGCCACCGCTCGGGGCGAGTGGCGGCTTCTGCGGGCGGTGCCGCCCGTCGCCGCCGTCGCCGCCCATCGAGGGCCCTCTCGGAGCCTTTCTCTTCACCCCCCTATTCATCGGGCGAAGAGAACTATGTACATGCACCGATCCTGGCAAGGCCCATCCTTGACCCAGGATCGGTGCATATGCCTTCCTGGCCAAGGTAGGAGGGCGCATGCACCGCTCCTGGGCTCAGGATGGGCCTGTCCAGAATCGGTGTATGTGCACAGTTCTTTTTCCTCTTTAGTAAGGTCCCCCCCCAGTGGCCACCCGCCCGAACGTCCACAGTCGCGGGTTCGCGGTGCTCGGAGCCGGGCCCTCGGCGCAGCCCTCCGCCTGCGCTGTGCGCGGCGTCGCCCGGCCCGCGGCGGAGAAGGCGTCGTCGTCGCCGCCGTCGCCGTCGCCCGGCATTCTTTCGTCCCCAAGGGCTGGAACGCAAGATTGCTTCACCACCACCCGCAGCCTCCTCGCCGCGGAGCTCTTGAGGACTGCCAGACCCGACCCTCCACGCCCATCCTCCCACCACCCCTCCTACGAGAAAGACGGGAAGAGGACGACGACGACGACGACGAGGACGAGGATGAGGAGGAGGACGGGGAGGAGAGCGACGAGGACGACGACGAGGACGGGGACGAGGACGACGCCGACGACGAGGACGACGAGAACGACGACGAGGACGAGGACGAGGACGGGGAGGACGAGGACGTCGACGAGGAGGAGGAGGAGGAGGAGGACGAGGAGGAGGAAGGACGAAGACGGCGACGAAGTCGAGAAGCAGAGCGCCCCTCCTGCGGAGGAGGTGCCGCACCCGATGCCCCCCCCCTCCGCGGCCGAGCCGAGGCGGAGAAGCTGAAGGGGTTGAAGGTACAGGCCTGCCTTCTTTGGCTAGACCGCCCTCCTCCTCCCCCTCCTCCTCCTCCTCCTCCACCACCTCTTCCTCCTCCTCCTCCTCCTCCCCCTCCGCCTCCGCCTCCTCCTCCTCCTCCTCCTCCTCCTCCTCCTCCTCCTCCTCCTCCTCATTTCCTACCTCTCCCCCTCCCCCTCCCCCCTTCTTCCCCCTCTCCTCCTCCCCCTCCCTCTCCTGCTATTACCCCTGCTCCTCCCCCTCCTCTTCCTCCTCCTCCTCCTCCTCCTCCTCCTCCTCCTCCTCCTCCTCCTCCTCCTCCTCCCGCGGCTCCACTTATCCAGACCTCCAGAGTCTTGAAACTATGAAGCCGCTTCTGGCTTCTCCGCACGTCTTTTGCATCCAGGGGCCACTGCCGGGCCCTTGGGGCGGTCAGAAAACAGCGCAGGACGAGAAACGAGTTCCCTTGGCATCGCTCGAACGTGTGCATGTTTTCGCAGCGTGGCCATCGAGGAGCATACTGGCTCATCTTACGAAAAGATAAAAACGCACGAAATCGATAAGTGCACGGGGGAAGGACGTCCGAGCGACGGCAATGTCCCAGGCAGGGGGTCGAGATGTCCTGGGCCACCCCAGACTGGCAGGAACGTGCAGCTCTTCCCCAGCAGCTCTTGCACGAAGGACTTGTTTATCTGGCTGTTGAGTGGTTCGGTGGGCTCTCCCCGGGTTTTCGCCCTTCCTCGTCCTGTTCCTCCTCCTGTTCCTCCTGCTCCTCCTTCTCCTCCTCCTCCTCCTCCTCCTCCTTCTCCTCCTCCTCCTCCTCCTCCTCATCCTCCTCCTCCCAGACAGCGAGGTGGGCGCCTCGTGGGCGCCCACCTCGCCGACTGGGTTCGATTGGTGCTTGCCCAGTCGGCGTCGGCGGGTGCCCCGCGGGCGCCTGTGGGCGCCCTATGCGCGCTGGCGGGGCTCTCGGGGATGCCGGCTGGCAGGCGCCCGTGGGTGCTTCGTGGGCGCCCCGTGGGCTTGTCGGCGCTTCTGGCTGCCCAGCGTGAGCTGGGCCGCGTAAGCTGCACCCAGTCAGGGCTCGTTTCGATTCCTCCGATTCGATTCGATTCGATTTCGATGGCTTCCGATTCCGACTCGATTCGACTTGGGATTCCGATTTGGGTTCCGACTTCTCATTGGAGGCATACTAGCCTCCCGATTTCCGCCGATTCGACTTTTCCCGACTCGGCTGCCGATTTCCGCCGATCCGATCCATCTCGATCGCCGATCCGACTTATCGATTCGATTCTGGTATCTCCTGCCCAGTAATCTGCACAGCATAGCCTGCACCACAAAGGCTGCCGATTGCACCACCCAGAATTCACCACGTTGCTTCCATCACGTACCACGCAACCTGCACCTCACACACTGCCCCGCAGTGGAATAAACAACGTGGCCTGCACTTCACATCTTGCACCGCATGGAATACACAACGTAGCCTGCACCAATGGCATTTTCCATTCAAAAGAATGATACACTCCACCACCAATAACCCAGACTTGTCGATACCCCCTGGGACACTGCAAAGTACATATGTTTCTGCACCAACGTTCATGTTGCATATGCAATCATACCGTCCCCGCCAGGCTGGCATCGAGACCGTAGGCGGATCTCCCCATAGGGGCCGCGAAAATGTGAGCGGTGTGCCAAAATGGGGCGGGTACGTCATGCGGTCGCACCCACCGAGACCGTACAGGCTAAGTTTCCTGTGGGGCCACGAAAATGTGCGAGCGGTGTGCCGAGTTGGAGGCGAGTACGCCATACGGCCGGGCCGATTGAGACCGTAGGTTGTCATCCTTATATGGCCACGAAAACGTGCGATCGGCATGCCGAATTGGGTACGCGAAGAGCAGAGGAAGGAGGAGGGGGAGAAGGTGAGGAGGTGGGGCCCGGAGCATTGGGAAAAAGGTGAGGAGGAGGAGGAGGAGGAGGAGGAGGAGGAGGGGGAGGAGGGGGAGGAGGTGAGGAGGTGGGCCCAACTCACACAGGATGGTTGGGCCAAAAAGACATGTCCAAGGGAAGGGGCCGAGAGGTTCGAGGCCCGAGGCTCCAGAGTGCCAAGTCTTCGGAAGTGCGGGTACTCGTCCCCTCCCCATCCCCCTGCCCACCCCCCCCCATGCTCCTCCTCCTTGCTGGCCCGTCCCTCTGCTGGACAATCCCTTTACAAGCCCCCACCTCCTCCACGACCTCGTCCTCCTGCTCCCCCTCCCCCTCCGCATCTTCCTGCACGGATGAGGTCATGGTCCGGAGTCGGGTGTGCAACCAGCGTGACTGTTGAGCCGCTGAGCTTGCTACGTGCACCTTCTTGTGTGCGATGTGGTGGGACATCGTGGAATGGCTGGCGGGCTGAAGCCTCGGGGTTGCATGAATGAAGGTTGCTCGATTGATTCGCCCAATCTCTCAGAAGGCCAGCTCGGCTGATGCTTTGCGTCCGAAGATGTCTGGCGACGCGCATGTCACGACGCAGCGTAGGTTTGGGCAGCCCCGGCCTCGCCAGACGCCCGTCTGACGTCCAAGCGAGCCCTCCTCGTCCTCATCTTTTGGCTGGCCGGTCCGTAGCCAAAGCGATTCTGGCTCAAGGGGTGGACCGTCATCCAGCCCAGACTGTTCGCTTCTCCCAAAGAAGTTCCCCGTCGGGATATTCATCGCAAGGGCGGCGCTCATGGTCCACATGCTTTTGCTGCTTCTCCTATCAGGGATGGCACTGGCAAATGCTACAGAGGATGCCCAAAGCCGAAGAGTCCCCATGGTGCGCAGTGAATCTATTTCGCCCGACAAAGCCTCCGTTGTTGATTCGCAGGTTCCGGCTGTACCAGATACGGAGTTCGTTGCAATGCCTAGGGCCACACATACGGCATCTGCACGTGTGCAAGCACACGCAAGCGGTCGCATTGCAGATGTCATTGCAGATGCATTTTCGGATGCGACGGAAACTGCGCATGATGAAAAACATGGGATGATGCGCAGTGTTGAGATATTGCCTGATGGAGTCACGGGAACCACCGACATTGCCGCGCCTTCTGCAGCGTTCGACCCGGACCAGCCGCTGAACGAGACGATAATGAGCATGTTCGTGGCAGCAACCGGCTCTGCCTCAGAGGTCGAGACATCCGCATCAGGCTCGTTGGGCGGGGCATCGAGCAGTGCGCTTGAGCTCGAGGTGGCCGCACCCAGCTCTGACTGCTGCAGCAACTCGGAGTTTGCGTGCGATGCCGCGCCTTCCAACGACCACTGTGCAGCGTCGTGGCCCGATGTGGCGGGTGGCCCCCTCACAACTTCCGAGTGCTGCGGGTTCTGGAACATGTACACGGGACGAGGGGCGCGGGCTGTGCCGATCCACGGGCAGATGCTGACCACCCTCCAGCACATCCGCTGGCATGCCGTGCAGTGGATCAGGGTTGCGCTGCAGAGGTCGGAGACCGCGAAGCAGCAGGGCGCGATGGCGGACTGGTCGGGGAGCGGCCGCAGTGCCTGGCCCGGGATGTCGAACTGGCAGACGCGCCGCTGGAGGGCCGCCTGGGTCGCGTTCTTCGGGAACCCCCAGGGTGCCGGGCCCGCGCTGGACAAGCTCATCGGCCGGCTTCGCAACACGCTGTGGCAGCTGGAGAACTCCCAGCTCATCCAGACCTCCAGAACCACTCCCGGGACGATGACGAAAGCCAAGGACGGTCGAAAAGGGCAGGTCAAGATCAGGCGCGAGATGGTCGTGGCTTGCCACGCATACCGTTCAAGCCACGGTTGGCCATACTATTGCATGTTGAAAGATAGGGCGCCAGCCTTGCTGATCTGGATCCACGAGGCCACGCACCTGGATGGCACGGTCGACGAGTTGCCGCAGGACACAAGATGCTGGGCCACACGGTGCTATCGCCAGGCAGACATAAAGGCATACGTCGTGGAATCGCAGCCCCAATCAACAGGCTGGCGAATGGACGAGACCAGGCGCGACCACCTATTGAATCATGCTGGGGCCATCTCCGCCTTCATTTACAATATCAATGGCTACTTTGGTGATGTACTCCAGTATCCTTATCAAGAAGAGGTCTATGACTGGTAGGATCCTTTTGCTGGCCTGCGAGCGAAGTCTTCTCGTTGTCGGTACGCCCGCTTCGAAGATTGGGTCAACACGTGCACCCCTCTTAACCAGAAGTTGGACGCACATGGTGCGGCGGCCCTGGGCAGGAGTTGGATCCACACGTGCATCAGGAGGGGAAAAAGCACAGACACAAGGAGTCGGCGATCCCTGGGAAAATGAGGGAAATACGGCCAGTGGGGTGGAAGACCGAAAGCCAGAAAATATGAAAACATATGGTGAATCTTGGGATTCGTGTGCACAGTGGAGACCCACGCCAAGAAACACTCTGCTTGCCTCCAGGGTGCCCTGGGTTTCTTGGGTTTCGTTGGTTGTGCTATGGAGAGCACGACACTCCCACCCAAAAAAACAATATGGACGTCCTGGGTTCTCAGGGATGGGTTTCTTGTGGAAGAGTTCTTGTGGACTGGCCTCCACTGTATTTCGTCGGGTGTTCCTGGGCCCCTTCGGGCGGGCGCGGGGAGGGCGCGTCGGGCAGGCCTCGAGTCGAGCTCTTCCTCCTCCTCCTCCTCCTCCTCCTCCTCCTCCTCCTCCTCCTCCTCCTCCTCCTCCTCATCCTCCTTCCCTGTACTTTTTGTGTGTCCCTGGGCCCCCTCCAGTGTAGTCCGATGGTCTCCCCAGCGCCTCCGTCGGCCTCCCACGGCCGTGCCCGGCCAGGCCCTCCTCCACGCGCGCACGTCCGGCGCGTAGGGTCTTCCTGGGGATGTTGCACACGGGCGCCAGCCCACCCGTGAGTGAGTGCGTGCGTGTGTCCAGCCTGCAGGCACGCCTCTCCCGCTTCTGGGCGGCGAGCCCGGGGGGGGGAGTGAGAAGGAGAAGGCCTTCTCAAAGGGCTCGGGAGTCCCCCGAGCCTTCTGAGAGGTTGTCTGAGCCTTCCCCGAAGTGACACGACAAGCATTCTCAGAAGGCGCGAGGGCAATGAAAAGTGTCGCCTTCTGAGAAGGCCTTCTCCTTCTCACTTACCCCCCTCGCTTGCCGCCGATCTTCGTCCTCCCTCACTCCTCCGTCCACTCTCTTCTTTTTTTGTCTTCTCTCTCTCTCTCTCTCTCCCTCTCTCTCTCTCTCTCTCTCCAGACGCTCGATGTCTCGAACGTTTCCAATACGGGGTCCCCAGATGTCCGCGTCGTCCTCCCTTGTGCAGACGGCTGCGAGGCACGAGGTGCGGTTCACCTGCTGCTGAGGTGTGCCACACGAGATGCACGGAGCGCTCTAGAGCAGGATTCGTGTCGGACGCTTTCAGCTGTAGCGGGTGCTTCGGCCCCAACCCGCGGCACCTACACGGGTCGCAGTCGCAGTCGCAGTCACTCATCCGTCCACCCTCTCTATCTCTCCCTCTCCCTCCCCAGACGTTCGACGTCGTGGGCGTGTCAGCACGAGGCCCCCTTAGTGTCCCCACCCGTTCCCGAGGACAGGCGTTGCACCCCGAGAGCGATCCTCTCCCGAAGGCCCACGGAGCCCTGGCGAGGGCCCGTGGAGGCCGAAGGCGGCCAAGAACAAGGCCGTCGCCACGTTTCCCGACCTGCGCACGTCTGGGCCCGTCGCTGCCCTCCCTCCCTCCCCTCCTCGAGGCCCCCATGCCTCCCCTCGCCCTCCTCGAGCAGCCCTGCCTCCCCTGCCCCTCCTCTCCCCCTCCCCTGCCCTCTCCTCCCCTCCCCTCCCCCCCATCCTCCCCACCCCCCTCCTCGAGCATCCCAGCCTCTCCTCCCCTCCCGCTCACAGCCGCTCCGTGCGGGGCGCCGCGTCGGCCGCAGTGGTCGGTTGGCGCCCTCGCTCTCGAGCGCAGGCCCCGCCAGACGGCCGCTGGGCGTCGACGCGCCCCTTCGGGCGGGCGCAGGGAGAGCGCGTCGGGCAGGCCTCGGATCGAGCAGCAAAGGCCGCGGCGGGCCTGTCTCGAAGAAGAACAAGCGCCATAGACAGAAACTTGTGGCGCTCCGCACGGATTTCTTGGATCCGCGCTGGGACCCCCCTGGCGGCGCCTCTGGCGCCGCCCCTGGCGCGCTCCGCGCGCCAGGGAGGGGGGTCCAGCGCAGATCCAAGAACTCCCAGCGCACCGTCGAAAGTTTATGCTTATGCCATTTGTCTTTTTCTGTTGTTGCGGAATCGGTGCGGGCACGGCTCGGGCGGGCGGAGAGGGCGCTCGCACGCGCGCCGCCTCAGCCGGCCGAGGCGGCGGCGGGAGCCGCGCGGGCGGCACCGCGGGCGGGCCGCGGAGCCGTCGGAGGATCGCTGCGCGGCGCTTCGGCGAGAGCTTCGTGCAGCCCCCCTATCGCGCGCGGCCAAGAAGGAGGAGGAGGAGGAGGAGGAGGAGGAGGAAGAGCTTCCGATGGGAGTCGGGCAGGCCTCGAATCGAGATGAATCGGCCCAGGGCGTTCCAGAACGCCCCGAAACGACCGCGGCGCCCGATGCATCCTCCAAAGCCGTCGATTATCCGAGATTTCCGATCTGTGCCGATCCGAGGTTGTCTCAATGTTGCTTTCGTCTTAGCGAGTTCGGCTACACGCAACAGTGACCCTTCGCCGGAGCGAGCCCACTGGGGTCCCAGTGGGGTCCCCCGATCGCCGAGCGCGATGCGATAGTCGCGTCTTGCGCGCTTAGGGTTGGCCCTCCCGCGGCCCCCCGAAAGCCGCGCACCAAAGGTCGTTCTTGCCCAGGGGCACTCCTCGCGTGTAGCCGACGAGCTGGGACAAGGGTAGCTGGCATTCGGGGCCCCCTCGTCACCATAGCTGGACGGAGCTCGGAAAACTGGTGTATCTGGACCATGTGACCCAGACACCCGACGTCATCATCTGCTCAGAACGTCGACCCCTGGAGGTCTCGACCCAGTTGCCAGGGACCGGTGTCTCATCCTGGTCCTGAGCCGTCTTCTGGACAGCACCGAAGCCCAGTAACGGCCCGCAGAGGCCGAAGACAGCGAAAAAAAGTCCCGCCATGATTTTTTCATGACCCGAGTCGAGGCCTCCGAGATGGGGTTGGAGTAGGAGTAGATGGGGTCGGAGGATCGCGCCGTATCATCGATGCATCGGCGATGCGGCTAGATGTGGAGCCCGGTATTCTCCACGCTGGCGTCGCCGATGCATCGACAATGTCGCCGATGCATCGCCGAGGCATCGGCGATGTGTCGCCGATGTATCGGCGATGCGGCGCCATCCTCCGACACCATCTACTCCGACCCCATCTGGGAATCTGGGAGGCCTCTTCCGAGGGGGTCTGGTCAAGGGAGGAAAAACCATCCGGGCCAGACAATTGGCGTTTGCTGATCGGCCCTGGGCGTCTACTACACAGCCCTGCCCTGCTTGATTCCTTCTTTGGGCGCGTTTACTAAGCGACTTCGCGTGTCGGGGTGGTTATTATGGGGGGGGATTATTTGATTTCTTTTTGGGGAGGAGCCCAGAACGCGGAGCTTCGCCTGATCGTGCTGGCCCCGTGCGGCACCAGAGGCCCCAGCCCCAGGAGGTCGCCCCTTGCGCCTGCCGACCACCCTTCTCGGGGGGGATGCCTCCGGAGCGGCGCGGTGGCCACTCCGTGTGGTGCTGGCCACGCGCAGACGGGGAGGTGGGGTGGGGGGGCAGGGGGAGGGACTCTGAGAAGCGCCCCTTCTGCTACGAAGGCGCGGGCCCTCTCTGCAGACGTAAGTGAGGCCGGCGGCCCCTTCGGAGGCGCAACAAATCTCCTTCTGAGGAGCCTTCACCCCTCCCTCCACCCCCTGGTTCAACTACACGTGAGAGTGACCCTTCGCTGGAGCGACCTTCGGTGCGGGCCCGTTGGGGTCCCTCGATCGCCGAACGCAATGCGATAGCAGCTTCCTGCGCGCTTGTGTTTGGTCCCCCCGCAGCCCCCAAATAGCCGCGCACCAAAGGTCACTCTTACCCTTTCGGTGGCCCTTGTCTTCGGTCGTGTCCCTCCGCTCGTTTGTCTGCGGCTCCTGGGGCCCGCCCCTCGTTCTCTCCCGGCCCCCTCGGGCCCTTCCGTCGCGCGTCGGCTACGTGCAGGAGTTGTTGTTCTGACGATACGTGCCACCGACGGGTGCGCGCCGCCAGCGGTGGGCCCGTGGGGAGGCGCGGGCACCCGGCAGCAGCTCGGAGAAGGCTCGGTGTCCGGCCGCCGCTGCCGCAGCTCGCCCCGCGCCGAGGATCCACGAGGGCCCACGGCCTCCAGGAGCGCGCCCCGGTGGGGCCCTGTGCTTAAGTCGGGCATGTCCCTGCACAGGAGGAGTATCCAAAAGCAGTCCAAACAAAAAAAGTCTGGGGAATAATGTTTTGACTATCTTTGGCTATTGTTGAGCATGTGCTGGCCATGTTTCATCTTTCCTCCAAAATCCGCCTGCAGGTGGGCATGCCCGACCTGACCCTGTGCTCCCGCCCGCCGCCCTCGGCGACGGCCAGCGGAGTCTCAACGAGGGCGGCTCCGCCAGCTCCCGCTCACCTCTTCCTCCGCCGTTTTCGAAGGAGCGCTGGGACAGCAGCAACAACAAAAACGAGAACAACAGCAAGGCAAGCACGAGGGCGGCTGCGCCAACGGAAGCCCTCGGGAGCAAGAGCTCTTGGGAGCAGAGACCACCCCGACCCCGATGAGTGGCGCTTGCTCATCGGACCTGGGCGTTTACCGAACAGTTCCGCCCTGTTCGGTTCCTTCCTTGGGTGCTCTGCCCTGTTCGATTCCTTCCTTGGGTGCGTCTGCGAAACGGCGTCGGTGCGATCACTATGAGGGTGGAGCTTTTGTTCTCTAAGAGAGGCCCCGCCAGGGTATGTCAATGGTTTGGGTCCAACGCTGCTGGGCCAGGCCAGACGCATCACGGCAGCGCGTCCTGTCTTCGCAGCCGCGCAGCCGGTCTGCTTGGTCTCGTGCCACTTCTGGGAGATTTGCGCCGACGGCGCTGGAGTGAGGGCTCGCGCGCGCCAGTGGCACGCTGGCCGCACCCTCGTCTGTCGGCGCCAAGCCAACTCCGCAGGTACCGTGGCGGGCCTCACGTCCGCCGATGCCGCACCTCAGGTGCTGGATGTGCTCGGGAAGGTCGGCGAGAGTGTTCTTCCTCCGGCATGGACGTGCCCACAGACCGTTGGGCACGATTGACAAGAAATCGCTCGTCTCCGCCATGTTTATCTCTTTGGCCCGCTCGGTTCGCCCGTGGTTGTTTGTGGCTCCTTCTTGTAAGGCTGCCCGTCACGCACAGACCAGTCTGCTCAGTGAGCGGACGACTTCTGGGCAGTGCGCTTGCAGCATATCGGCACCCAGATTTCCACACTCAACATGCCCCTGTCTTTCCCTAGTCCCACCTCCTTCACCTCTTCCTCCACGATCACCCCCTCCCTCCCCCCCCATCCCTCCCCTTGTAAATCCAAGTGTGCATTGCCTGCCTGTCCGCAACCGTTTCTTGCTCGAGGGGCCACTTGAGCCGCCGATGGTCTGTATTTTGATTCACTTATTGGTTCCAGGGAGTTCGCAGACTCGTGATATTCCCAAATGATTTATTATAGTGGACCAGATCCACACATACAGCAAGCTGAATACGAGCAAGCTTTCTGGGGCCAGTTATTGCTTAGTTTCAGACGAGCGGGCGGGAGCGAGACGGCCCGCCACGAGTAGCTGAAAAGAGAAGGAGTCAGATCCACGGACCGAACATCAACATCACCGACGCCGACATCGAGAGCGTTTCCGATATCATCGACATTGTCATCAGCATCGGCGAACCCGCATTGGTAGCGGAGCTAGTTGGCTCCACACAGCACAGCTGGCACCATGACAGACAACAGAGCGAACGATAAGCACAAAGCTCCTACGTGGGACGGAGCTGGAGCACGCTTCCAGGAGTACAAGGAACGAGTGAAGTGGTATGTGGCCGATTCTCGTTCCGCGACAAGACGGTGGCGGGCGCGAGGCTGGCATCAGCAGTGACTGAACCGGCCTGGAAGGCGTTCGAGGAAGTATCCGACGAAGGTCAAGAGCTACTCGACAAGAACGGCGGCCACAAGGCTTTGTTGAAGAGCTTCGACGAGACGCTGATAGACGGACCTATCCGGAAGCTGCCAAGTATATCAAGGAGTATCTCTATTCACGCTGAGGTGGAGGAACAAAGAAGGCATGAAGGCCTACGCCCAAAGGAGCCGGATCGTCGCCGACAAGCTGGATCAGAGCTTCCGGAGAATCGATGAGAAGGACCCGAGCTGCGAGCTGAAGCTGGAGAAGCGGTCTCAAACCGAGGAGAAGCAGGAGTCCGTGAAGGACGAAGCCAGTATCCAGGGCGACAACGACGACGCGAAGAGCTGCAAGGACGAACGCTGGAAGGGAAACTGGTGGTACGGCAGCAGCTGGTGGAGCAGCTTACCAGGCTTGCAATCGGGCTCACAGTGGGCATGGCCACGGCCAGCGGCATCACTGAAGGCACACGAGAAGGTGACGCTGAAGGAGAAGGCTACGGAAGCTCTGCGTTCATTGATGGCGAGATTCGACTTGGATGAAGACGACGTGGACATCAAAGCATTGAAGGAGGTTGCGACCGAGCTGAGGGAGACCCCCATCCCGTCGGTCATGGCTGGATGGCTGCTCTTGCAGCGGGCTGAACTTAATGCTCAAGAGCGCGCGGGAGTTCTATCATCAGCTAAGAACTCGCTGAACCTGTGGAACATCAAAGGAGCGCTACGCGACCAGTGGGCAGACATAGACCTCAAGGAACACGACGGCCACAACAGGAAGAGAGACACGTTCCCGCGGAAGCGCGGCAAGGGACGAAGACGACTACGAGGAGCCGGGCTACGACGACGAGAACGGGGAGGGGATCGACAACGAAGCCTACCTGCCTACCTCGGCGACGAGGCGGACGAGGACAACGACGAGCTGGACTTCGAAGACCTGGGCGAAGACGAGCGCGCCGAGGCAGCGGAGGCATTGGCCGTGATCGGCGGCGCGAAGAAGGACGCACGCACACAGAAGAGGACGCTGGTGCGGGCCCGTGCAGTCGTCAAGGATATCAAGCAGAGACGTGGATTCTACCAGACAGGCAAGGCCCCTTGCAAGGGTCGACCAGCAAGCGGCGAAGTGCAAGGTCCACGTTTCATATGCGGCGGACCGCACAACCGCGAGCACGACTCACGCAACAAGGAGAAGAATCAGGGCGGGGCGCCGAAGGGCCGGGCGCAGCAGGTCGGTGCCATGGCGTTCAGCTTCGACATATGAGGCGACGTTCCGGATTACGAGATCGAGCTGAGCAGCGAGACGGCAGCGAAGCACGAGGACGCGAAGGAGTTGGCGTTCGCCTCGTTCGAGACGATCTACCACGCGACGCAGGGCGGCACAGTCGAGCACGCGCTGGCCGGGCTCGAGGACGAGACAGAAGGCCGCATGGCGCTGGACTGCGGCGCGACCAAGACGCTCGGATATACCCAGGCGCTGGGGAAGATCATCGTCGAGAAGGGCTGCAGGCATGGACATCAGCAGCGCGACGGCCGATGCGACAGATCAGCCGAACTTCGGATTTGCGAACGGAGCGGCAGTGAAGTGCTCAAGCAGGGCTACCCGACCTCTTCATGGTAACGGACAACTCGGGACAGTCGCCGGGAACTCGCTGAACACGAAGAACAACCGCTACGCGCCGCTGCTGGGATCACCGGGCTTCCCGAGGCCCCGAGGCGCCGTGGGGCCATCATCGATTTTGCCGTTGGAACAGCCTGCTTCTCGAAGATAGCGGTGGACAAGCTGGTCAAGCTCCATGGGGTCTCGACAGGCCACCTCGGCATCGACGTGGCCCAGGACCTCCACGGCCAGAAGATGGCGAGGCAGGAGATGCAGGATCTTCGGCAGGTGCTCGAGAACCTGAACCAGGCGTTCAGCGTGCAGGACGCTGCATTGGCCGGCCGGCCGGCCGACGCTGATTGGGAACATCGCCCCTCCTTCTGCGACGATGGAAAATCCATCATCGCGTCACTGGATAGGTCATTCCACGACATCCTCGAGAGCAGCGGAGGGGGGCGAGAAGAGTGGAGCGCAAGATATCACAACGGAAACAATCCTAGCTGGAGGGCCCGAGATGACCACCAAGGGCCTTCTGGAGTCAGAACGTACGACGAGTCCAACACGACCGACAGCTCAATCGAGGAATGCGAGCACTGCGAAACGGTTCCAGATTATGTCAACAGCGCGATCGTCTTCGACTCGAACGAATGGGCCTCTCGACGAGTCTGACGGGATCGACGGAGTAGGGCGGAAAGGAGGCTGCTACTTGGTCGAGGGGGTTCGGAACCACTGCTACGACGAGCGAGCCGAAATCCACCGACGCGCCGTTGGAATAGACGAAGGCCCCCGAGATCCCGAGAGCCCACGATAACGCGCGCGACCGTGGTCGATGATCTTGCTCAAACCAGGAAGCCCAGATGATTTCCGAGCACCACGGCAGCACCCAGCATGCCGGGGGCAGCGGCCGCGGAGACGCCAGCGCCGAGCCACAAGCCCAAGTCCGAGGCAGCGGCGGCGGCGCCAAGGGCCGGACGCGCGCCAGAGCTCGGCCGACCTCGCAAGCGGGGGCTTCGACAAGTAGCTGGACGAGATGAAGCGGCGGGGCGGTCGGCGCGCGGATGGCGATCGACAGGAGGGGCTCCCGCCTGGACTGGAGGAGGGCAGCGGGGACCGACGAGAGGGGCGAGCGGCGCCTCGGAAAGCCGCGCCGAGGGGGCCACGACGCGGCGAGCCCACTGGCGAGGCTTGCGAACCAGTACAGGGTAAGCTACGAGTGCGCGAGGTGCGACCTGGTGATGCTCTACGCCCCGAACCATGGAGCCTCGGGGAGGCACCGACAGCAGGGGCCTCTCGGCTCGACGGTCGACAAGATCAAGTTCGAGGAGATCACCAAGCAGAGGCCCTCGCGCGGGTCACCGAGGCCGACGGCAGAGGAGGCGAGTTCGGGCGATTCGTTCGAGAAGGGGGGCGCTCCCGACGGGGAGGAGACGCCGCGGGCCGAGACGAAGACCTCGCGAGTGGCCGAGGAGTTAGATATGACGCTGGACCGCGCCAAGAGGCTGGCCGACAAGCAGGAGACCGAGGATCTCGCCGCAAGGCGGGGGCCCGGAGAGCGCCCAGTCGATCGCCCGCCCGTCGCCGACGACGCCGGGCCCGACGTCGCCACTTTCGGCGTCGACGTGGAGTGCCCGAAGGAGGACATCAACACTATATATAACACCTGGGTGGTGGACCAGGCGAAGGACGCGAATGCGGCGACCGACCTGTACACCAAGACGCTGGCAGAGTCCTGCACGGAGGAGGACAGCCAGCTTGGCCAGGTCGCGCACGAGAGGAACGACGCCAGGGACATCCGAATCACCGGGAAGGGCGCCGACCTCAGCAAGAAGTCAGGACTGGACTACGCTCTCAAGATCGCCGACGAGGACCGCGGAGCAGATCTGCGGGGCAGCCTGCCCTGCACGGCGGCCAGCGCGCTGCAGAACGGCTACGTCGGCAGAACAGGGACGCAGCAATTGGCTAAGCTCGAGGCCAAGCGCAAGGACCTGAGGAAGATGGTCGACAATTTCATCGTGCTCGGCCAACGGATCAGAGCGAATGGCGGGGACGCGCACTTCGAGCGGCCAGGGAACTGCCATGGCTGGGAGCTGCTCCCGCAGCTGATCACGCTCTTCTTCGGCGAGGCGGAGATGGAGAAGGCCAACTCCGACGGGCGCCAGGCGGGGGTCGTCAGCCAGAAGGTCAGCCCGATCTACAAGCCGTGGACGGTCTGGACGAGCAGGACGAAGCTGGCAACAACACTAAGAGTAAGAGATGTCCAGATCTTGCCGGACATATGGATACGCTGAGTGCTGTGGGGCGCTCACGGCGACGAAGGTCAACATGCTCGAGACCTAGAAGTAGCTCGAGCTCACAGCAGCAGAGCAGGCGGAGTGGAACAAGCTGGAGCCACTCAAGCAGAACGAGATAATGAAGGCCGCGATGAGACTGCACAGGAACACCGGACATCGACTTCCGAGGGCGATGATCAAAGTGCCACGACGCGGGGGGGCCACCGCTGTGACCATCGCGGCGGCGAAGCAGATCAAGCGCAGCTCTTGCTTCGAGAACCAGGCGCCGAAGCCACGATCAGCAGCTGTTCTGGAACCTGCTCGGGACCTCGGGCAAGTGGTCGGCGTGGACGCACAGGCTTGTCGGCAACGACGACGTCATCAAGCAGACGTAACTGGCGATCGTCGACGAGGCGAGCAAGCTCACGCTCGCGGTGAAGATCTTCAGTCGTCCTGGACAGGGGTCGAGGAACTGCGCGGCGAAGGAGCTGCTGGGCGCTTTCCGGAGCCACTGGTCAGACAGGTATGGAATTCCTGCAGCACTACGTCACGACCCGAAAGAAGCCAATGTATCACGTGGACTATTCGGGAACATCTCGAGCGAGGGCGCGGTGCTGGACCCGCGCGCGACGCGGGCACACTGGCAGAAGGGCATCGCCGAGCGGGCGATCCAGACATTTTTCGAGCGTGCCAAGTCGCTGCACCGGGATCACTATACCGACATGGAGACGGCGGTGCACCAGGCGGCGGAGACGCACAACACCGTGGAGCGCGTAGACGGCTACAGCCCGACGCAGTGGGCATTCGGAAGAGATGAGAAGTGGCCCGGGACATTCACGAAGGACGAGAGCCTAGACGTGGTGGAGCGCACGAACCAAAGCTAAATGGAGAACCCGTCACAGCGCGCGCTGGCCTCCAAGATCATCGGCGACCGGATCCTCAAGCAGCAGCAGGCGAAAGCAGCCGCAGCACGAGACCAACGAGTGCAGAAGTTCACGCCGGGCGTGGTGGTCTGCGTCTGGAGATACGGCAAGCAGGTAAGTCAGCCCGCGCCTGGCGGGCGGAAGCAGCACGGAATCGATCGACGACGCTGGTTTGGACCAGGGGCCGCGCTGGGAGCGCAGACCGCACGCGCCAAAGGCGAAAACGCACAGCCAGGTCGGAAGGTGTCGATCGTGACGGGAGCGCGACTCTGGAGGTGCTCACCAGAACGCATACGAGCGCCGAGCCTTCTCGAGGAGGACATCTCTGCGGACGAAAAGGGCGCGCCGTGGACGTTCGTGGAGGCTCTCAACTTGCTCCAGAAGGGCGAGGTCATCGGCGTGGACAAGGAGGGCGCGCCCATGCAGGAGGAGACCTACGTGCCAGAGGCGAGGACAAGGGCGCCGGACGACAGCGACCTAGAGCACTACTGGATGGAAGAGGAGTTCGAGGGTCGGAAGGCGCACGTACGAGTGCACCTACGACACCGAGTCGCGACTTCCACACCGATAGGCTGTCGAGCCTCGCCTGAGAAGACAAGCACGAAGCGGGCGACCGCCGTGAAGTTCGAGGACGGCTCCATGGAGACACTCAGGGACGACAACTGGAATGTCCCAGGGAAACCAACCAGGGCGCCAGGGCGGCGCTGGACCGGCAAAACGCATCTGTTTTCGATAATCGAGGACAAGACGGACGGAGCTGAAGCAACTACAGCCCGACACAGGTCAGGACCCGAGTCGTCTGCAACGTTGACTGGACAAACCGAAAGACCAGGAGGACCAATTCGAGCGGCAGCTGAGACACTGGCAGGAGACCAAGTCGACCCTGACCTGATGGTGGACACGAAGATCAAACCGACACCCGTGCAAACCATCGAGAGAAAGATCCCCACGAACCCAAAGGGGAAGACCAGAGTCGGAAAGCTGGAGCAGAAGCGCGACTTGTTCGCGAAGATTCAGAGGAGGATGCGGATGAAGACGCAATTCGCGCTTTCGCTCAGGGCTTCCGGAGTGCTCACGAATGACGAGGACCTCGGGGCCAGCTCTACTGGGACAAGTTTGAACTCAGCGCGTTCGCGGCAGCCAGGACGGAGTTCACCGAGGTGACGTTCAAGGCGGCAGACAAGGCCTGGATGGACAAGATAGCCAGCCAGCCAGAGCGCCACGAGTCCAAGGCGTTGAAGAAGGGCCGCACGGAGGCGAGCGTCAAGGACATGACGATCGAGCAGAATGACAAGATGACGGCGCCGAAGCTCGCGGAGGCACGCGACTGGATCGCGAATGAGGTGCTCGAGAAATGCCCCCCGCATTTTAGCCCAAAGCCCGCGGGCGCTCCGAAGACACGATGGGTGCTGACCTGGAAGAAAGACGAGGCCACAGGAGGCAGCCGAGCTAAAGCACGACTGGTCGTTCTTGGATATCAAGACCACCGACTCGGCGAGGAGCCAGTGGCATCGCCTGCAATGACGAGAGGCGCTCGGAACACGGCATTGCAGATCGCTGCGACAAAGTCTCGGAGGCGCAAGAAGGGCGACGTCAAGGCGGCGCCCCTGCAGGGCAAGGACACGCCAGAGGGCAAGCCCCTCTTCATCTCTTCATAGCTGCGAACGAGGAGCTGGCCGAAGAGCTCGGAATTCAGATCGGAACGCTCGTGCGACAAGTAAAGCCGCGCGTGGATTATGCCAGGCGCCCAAGTCGCGACACGAGAGCGTGGACGCACTCATGGAGCAGCTCGGAGGACAGCGATATGTCTCAGACCCTTGCGTCTGGGTCTTCAGCGACGAGAGCGGCGTCTAGGGGATCGTCGGGACACACGTGGACGACTTCCTGACCACCTGAGACGGCAGTCGACGCTGGCTCGACACCGAGACGAAGCTGCAGAAGGCGCTTCGCTGGACACACTGGGAAGCAGGACGCTTCAAGCAGACAGGGACGACGGCAAGCCAGGAGCCGAGCGGGCAGATCTCGATCGACCAGAAGGACTGCATTGACAACATCGAGGAGATCGACATCCACAGCGAGCGCAGGAGGCAACGCGGCGCGATGCTCACGGACCGCGAATTGACGATCAATCTTTCAGAGTACTGAGGCGACGGTCGAGACGTTGTTCGGCATCGACAAGCTGATCAGGCATATCAAGCTGGACCATAACTGCAAGCTGACGTTCGAGCCGTTCCGAGGGAATGCCCTGGTGGTCGGCTAGGGCGACGCCGATTGGGCCAATCGGCCCGGCTCGAGTGAACAAAGAAGAGCAGCCCAGCGCGAAGAAGCGGAAGGAGAGAGGTCTCACCAGGTTCGAGTCGAACAAGCGCGGCTTCGCCGGCCCCATCACAGACGCATTCAAGCATGCGGAGATCTCACTACCAGATACGGCAGACGGTGGCGAAGATGACGATCGGGATCAGGTCTGCAGCGGACCCCCGGATCGAGGTTGACTTCTGAGCGGCGAGGGTCGCGGGTAGAGGTCTGGACCTCGACTGATTTTCTTTGCATGGTGCCAGATGCCCCAGATGGTATTGCGCAGCGTGACGCGCCATTTTGGCATCGAAGTGAACATGAATGGCCCCCTCTGGAGCAGGTAGCGGACATCAAAGGCATCATTGATTTCTGGGGGTGTGCACCCAAGTGTGCACTGTTTGCCTGTCCGCAACCGTGTCTTGCTCGAGGGGCCCTTTGAGCCGCCTGTGGGTGGTATTTTGATTCACTTGTGGGCTCCAGGGAGCCCGCAGACCCATGATATTCCCAAATATCTGATCCTAGTGGATCTGATCTAAACATACAGCAGGCTGAAGACGAGCAAGCTTGCAAGCTCTCTGGTGCCAGTTGCTGACGGGTTTCAGACGAGTGGGCGGGAGCGAGACGGCCCGCCACGCGCAGCTGGAAAGAAAAGGAGTCAGATCCACGGACCCAACATCAGCATCACTGACGCCGACATCGAGAGCGTCTCCGACATCATCGAGATTGCCATCAGCATCGGCGAACCCGCACCCCTCCCCTCCCCTCCCCTCCTCCCCACCCTCTCCCTCCCCTCTCTCCTCCCTCCTCCCCTCGTCCTCCCCGCTCATCCCCTCCCTCCGCTCCCTCGCTCCATTATCCCCATGGTGCCCCTTGCCCCCCAGGGCACCCCTTCCGTCGCGGTGAAGTTCCTCGTGCCCGAGATCGAGGGCGGCGCCCCCGCCGAGAAGAAGCCGCGGCCGGGAAACGGGGAAGGAGCGAGGAGCGAGGAAGGGAAGGGGAGGAGAGAGGGGGGTGAGGGGGGGGGGGAAAGGGGCAGGAGGGAAGGGAGGGAGGAGAGGAGGGAGGAGGAAGGCGACGAAGGATCCAGCTTGGTGGTGTTGCCTGGTCTTGGTTCACGCTTGCTCGCTCCTCTGTGCTCCCGCTTGCCTCGGCAGCCTCCCGCGGCCCCGGCTGAGACGCTGCGGGCTGGGCTTGTGCAAAAAGAAGGAGGAGGAGCAGGAGGAGGAGGAGGAGGGAGAGGAAGGGAGGGAGGGAGGCAGGGAGGGAGGGAGGGAGGGAGGCAAGGAGGGAGGGAGGGAGCAGGGAGGAGGATGGAGGAATGAGTAGATTACTATCGTCCCTCGTCGTCCTCCTCTCCTCTTTTTCGTATCGGTGCACGGTCGGTGCCCTACACGGTGCACGTGTCTCCAATCAGCCGGTGGCTCCAGGGGCGACCGCCCCGGGAGTCACTTGACTCGCTAGTTTTATTGCAAGACGTTGGCGATGGAACAGGAGCAGGAGGAGGAGGAGGGGGAGGAGGAGGAGGAGGAGGAAGGGAATGGAGGAAGGGAATGGAGGAAGGGAATGGAGGAGGAGGAGGAGGAGGAGCAGCGGAGGAGGAGGAGGAGGAGGAGGAGGGGGGGCTTGAGCTGGAGGGGATGGAGGAGGCGGAGGAGGAGGAGGAGGAGGAGGAGAGGAAGGGGAGGGGGAGGAGGAGGGGAGCGAGGAGGAGGAGGAGGAGGAGGAGGAGGAAGGGGAGGGGAGGGGAGGGGAGGGGGAGGGAGGGGAGGAATGGGGAGGGAGGGGGGGGGAAGGGAATGGAGGAGGAGGAGGATGGGGAGGGGGAGGGGGGAGGAGGAGGAGGAGGAGGAGGAGGAGGAGGAGGAGGAGGAGGAGGATGAGGGAGGAGGAGGAGGAGGAGCAGGGGAGAGGAGGAGAGGAGGAGGAGGAGAGAGGAGGAGCAGGAGGAGGAGGAGGAGGAGGAAGGGGAGGAGGGGGGAGGACAAGCTAGGTGCGCTCGCGTCATATCTGACATCCTACCCCTCCCTCCCATCCCTTACCATGGCGTAGATCCCCTCTCTACTCGCACAGTCGGATGTCGAGCAGGGCAATGATCCCGAAAGGGTACGCGATGCATTGTAGAGCACGGCATGGCATGGCGTAGAAGAGCACCGCAAAGCGTAGTACCAACCTAGCATTGCATTGCATGCCGTGGCATGGCACGGGAAATGACGCCAGCGCTGCAGCGGGATAACAAGTCGAAACGAGCGGAAGCGCGGAAATTAGGCCAGCGCTGCAGCGAGAGCACGATTCGGAACGAGCGGAAGCACGGAAATGAGGCCAGCGTTGCAGCGGGAGCACGATTCTGAACGAGCGGGGCCCGAAAATGAGGATGGCGCCTCAGCGAGAGCAGCATTTTGAGAGGAAAAAAAACGCAGGCGAAAACCCAACTCCGGGGAAGCTTGTGCAAAAAAACAGTGCGCGGGGGGGGTCGAGCACTTTCAAACCGTCATCAGGGGAAGAGGGAGAGTAGTATTCATATTGAGTAACTGTGAAGGAGCAGGAGGAGGAGGAGGAGGAGGAGGAGGAGAGGAGGAGAGGAGGAGGAGGAGGAGGAGGAGGAGGAGGAGGAGGAGGGGAGGAGGAGGGGGGGAGGAGGA